ACAACAGACACAGCTGGACTCCACAGGTCATTGTTTCTCACTAGAACTCCAGGAAATACCTCTTCAAGCCAGCCAGTCACTAGTGTTTATATGATAATTATTACCAGACAGGGTTTTGTGGAGATTTTACTAATTTTTGTAATTGAATTCATGAGTGGATGTGGATTGCTGAGGAGTCCCATAATAAGACGAAACGACCGTGTAGTGCTTCCACATTTTCCATGGTTAACCTCTAGTCTTACTTCAAATAGTCCACGAAATTGAGCGACACATCTATATTGTCTTCAGTGAGTTACTATCTCACAACATACCCGGTTGAACTTATATACGTGCCAAACCATTCAACAAAAAATAAAAAGATAAACAGAGTTCCGAGTTAATTGAAGCTAGACCACCATGGAAAACCTGGAAGCACTGGACGGCCGTTTCGTCCTAGTATGGGACTCCTCAGCAGTGCGCATCTACGATCCCACACCCCACGAGATTTGAACCCAGGACATATCAGTCTCGCGCCAAGGGCTTAATCAACTAGACCAATGAGCCGGAATCTCCACAAAACCCATTCTGATAATAATCATCTGCTCACTAGTGACAGGCTTCAAGAGATACTCCTGGAGTTCTAGTGAGAAGACGTTACCAGTGGAGTTCAACCAGGTCTGTTGTGAGATATCAGCTCACTGAAAACAATGGTATACGATGGCGCAACTTCGTGGGTTGGTTAAAGATAGACATTAACAGCATTGGATGCTAGCCGGCTCAGTGGTCTAGTTGGTTCAGCGCCTGGCGCGAGACTGATAGGTCCTGGGTTCAAATCTCGTGGGGTGTGGGATCGTGGATGCGCACTGATGAGGAATCCCATACTAGGACGAAACGACCGTCCAGTGCTTCCAGGCTTTCCATGGTGGTCTAGCTTCAATTGACTCATGATTTCAATCTGTGAAACATAAATTCATTCAAATATCATTTGTTCAGTTATTTATTCATTGAAACATTCAATGTTAAATGTTTATTTAACAGAATGAGACAAAACATACAAACTACAATCTGATTATCTAAACATTCGAGTAAACAACTTTTTATTATTAAAATCTATAGAAATCAATATATTGGTACATAGTTTTTTACAACCCAAATAAGCCCATTCAATAATTAAATGGTCAAGTCTATAGGAAAATTCAATAAAACGTTAATAATTAATAGAAAATATCACGATATTTATCTCTCTACATTAGAACATTATCCCTTATTCTCTATGAAAATATAACCAATTATTATGTGTTATAATATTGACATTTAAAGTAGTAATAGGCAAAAGAAAACAAAATATCAGAATCAATATTTGTTTTATTGATTAAATATGATTGAATTGTGCCAGATTAATACAAGTAACATGTATAATAACTAACACACTCATCATTACCATTTTTTGGCGGCCTGCTTGAATATCTGGTCTACCTGTTTCTGACATCAACATATCTCAACAAGTTACCTATATTTTGTTTGTCTTAACACATCATTATGGCTCTTAATCGCATAACCTATTTAGACGCGTTTATGGGAAGTTTACAATCTTTCACCGTACAACTTACAAAAAAGTACAATCAAAGACATTGTGTTGGATGTCAGTACACATTGAAAAGAATGACCATTGTTCAGATTTCGATTCCTGAACTGCTAACATCATCTAACTGGTGATAACTCAATATTTATCGTTAGGATAGATGAAGAAATAAGGAAAGGAAACTTTTTGAAATACTTTGTGTTGAGAATTCTATAATGTACCAAAAATATAATATTGAATAAAGCCATTAATAATAATAACAAAGAAATGAAAGCAATATGAATTTTTCAAAAAAGCCTTCGATAACTGGTAGAATCTGTGCAAAAAGATAAGTTTTTGATTGAGATCATGAACCGATTGATGTTAGACCACCGTTGGAAACCTGGAAGCACAGGACGGCCGTTTCGTCCTATTGTGGGACTCCTCAGCAATGCACATCCACGACCCCGCTCGCGGGATTCGAACCCAAGGCCTTCAGTCTCGCGCACGAATGCTTAACCTACTGGACCACTGAGCCGGCATCCAATGACTTTAGTGTCTAACATCAACCAATCCACGAAATTGCGCGAACATCTTCCATTGTACTGAGGTAGATATCTGTCTCTACCCGACACGGATTAGCTCCACTGGTCACGGCTTCGAGGTTTCCAACGGTGGTCTAACATCAATCGGTTCATGACCTCAATCAAAAACTTAATAATCTCCATAACCCTTATACTGGCAAAAAGATAAGATTGGTGAAGAATTGAATAGATACAAGTAAATAATTATAGAAAATAGTTCCCCACCTATGTTCATTCCTAATAAACTGAAACCAAGATGCTAGACGCTAGAAACTCTTACGGTAGCAAAAGGAGATTCTGTTTATGAAAACTGAACTCTAAAATGGTACTATTGCAGATATCTTGAAAAATCGATTGTTAAATTTGTTGAAAAAGAGATTCTATTCACTTGAAATACAGATTTCATTATTTAGTAGGTACCTGATCAAAGAAGTATCGCTTTAGACTAATTCAGTATGTGTTTACCAGCTAGTATACCTGCTCTCGTGGAGGGTGTTATATAAGCTATATAAAGCGTACTCTTTCCAAATGCATATTCCAAAACTGTCCAGTATGCTTGTGTAAAGGTTACTATAAATCTGTCAATAGTTCTATTATCAAATATTGATGAAATCCAGTCAACAATCGCCCCCAGAATCTTCACCTAAAACCGTCCACTAAGTCAGAAGAACTGGGTCAAAAGATAATCAGATAAATATGGTTTGATAGTAGAGCTTGATCTTTGTGTTCAGAAGTGATAAGTCTGATCTGTTATTTTATCATGATTTTAACAGCCATTTTATTCTGTAAGTTGTGTTAAACACAATCTTGACCGTTCATTCATCTTTCTTATATTCGTCAACTGGGTGGTTATATTCCGCTCTCTTTTCATTTATGTTATTTCTATTATGATTTGATTAATACAAAACTTTATTCGACAATTGAAATAGATCTTATTTAACTTTTGGTATCATTTACTAATGGCTCATCGATTTTCTATTTTATTATAGACTACCATATGTAAAAAATAACCATAAAGACAATTGTATGGCTTTAGTTAATGACATCAAGGAAAGGAAAACTTTCATCTCGGAAATGCCATTACTTAATCTAATTACGAAATGAGTTTTTTTTTCATTGTATTGAAGTCCCATTGGGAGATATTGTAACCTAAGGATCAATTAAGGTCAACCTGGGGTGAAGTTGAGAGGGCGCTGATGATGCTTGACTATAATCACGTTTTACTATGAATCATTTGTAGTTGGAGAACGAAGAGAATCGTATTATAAATTCAGTGATCAAATATCAAAGTGTTTATTATGAGTTTTATGATTACCATGTCATAATGAATAACAAATGGTCACTACTAAGGTGACACAAAAAACAATGACGAGACTGTTGAATTTTTCTCTGTCTGAGAAGGTTCAGTGTATATAATCTCAGTCTGTAAAAGCATTTTCAAAACATTTAGCTTCGCAGTATCCTAAATAATTTTTTCATGAAGGTAAAATACATACTTCAGAATGATAAAACATATCAATTGGAGGAAAATATTGGTACAAAGAAAGTCGTTAAGAATAACACTACAAACTAGCATTCAGTACTGGTTAGTTGCAGTATTTCAATTTGATACTGATAAAAAAATCCATATTGCAATACTTAGAAATAAGAGACCTAAGACATTATTGATTAGCTCTGTTGGCGAAGAAACCAATCATCAACCCGTTATGATAACTAACATTTATACGGTTATGTCATTTTCTAGGTTAAAAAGCTTACTAATTACAGTACAGCCCATAAATCGATTTTTGCAATAGAATGATTCAGTATCAATTCACCAAAATGTATATTTTCAAAAAAAAACGTACGCCCATCTGAGGATTTACAAATGAGATCTCAGTGCTGACTGCAATCTATATAGCGACCCATGTTTTTACTCAAATAAAACAGATCATTCCTTATACTCCTCAATTTAACCATGTCGCTTTCATCACAAATGGATCTTAATTGGGCAACCATTTAAAAACAGGAAGCACTGAACATCTGTTATGTCCTCATATGGGACTCCTCAGCAGTGCCCAACCACTACCCAAAAGATGGTGCAGAACCTAGGAACTCCATGCATTGTGGCGAACATTTAACCTCTAGACCACTAAGTCATCCACTCAATCACTTACATTTCCAGCTTCAATCAATTCACAATAATGCAAAACCATCTCCCAATGTAATTAATGTGTGCGACAGATTTGATCTAAAATATATACTGTATCAGTACAATGCGCGCCAAGCAGTCTGATAACACACACACGCACACTTATCAAGGCTTTCATAGATGAAAATAAATGAAGGTCTATTAAATAAAAGATTTGATAAATATTAAATAATATGCAAAATATAGAATGTACATTAGTTTAGGCATTAAGATGAATTAAAGATTATTAAACAGGGGAGGATTCAAGGTTATAAATTGTTTTTGTAAACACATAACATTAACCTTGAATCTTCCAATGATCAAGGCATTCATAAACATAAAAGCAGGTTCCTAATGATTTCTACATCAAGTTTCCAAAAGTGTATATAATATCGTTCCTGTGGCTCGTTTAAACTAGAACAGTTTGGTTTTGCACCTCCTTCGTTTCTACCAGGACGTGTGACGCTGACTGATTCTTAAGCATTTTGGGAACACGTTTCACTTATATATATATATATATATATATATATATATATATATATATATATATATATATATATATATGAATTGCAACCATGTCAAAACCATTTTGAAGCCATGAATTACTCAGAACATTAAACAAAATATATACAATGAGAAAATAAGCAAGATTAGTCTGATCAAGTCATCAGAAACGTGTAATTTTCATTTAACCAAAAATACCTACCTTGTTAATAAACCATTTTCTTTGGCAAGTGTTACATTCGGTGAGTTACGTGTTGCAATACCTGGTACCATTTCTGAAACTTCAAATATTGTACTATTAACATTGCTATTATTGTTATTAGCCATTGTTGAAGTAATAGTGCCAGTGGTTGTTGCAATTGTACTGATTTTATTCAACGGTGATAAACCAGTCAGTATTATTGTTGATGGTTGATTTTGTTGACGTTTCTTTTGTTGTTCAAATATAGCTATGTTTATATATGATAAAAAGTTAAAACACATTATTTTTCTTAGCAAAAACATCGAATCAAAGTTTATTGTTATTATTAATTTAAAAGAACAGTACACTAGTATTGTTGTTGCAACTTCGCTTTAATGCAGTGACAACTTGCAAAATAGACATAAATTTGCTTGTTGTATCTCTCACAGAATGATTTCAGTTAGGATAGGATTGAAGAATGGAGAGAGTTAGACACTTGTTTCGTTATGGCATGAGATCCCTTAAAAGTTCGCATAAGTGACCCCACCAGAGATGGAAACCAAGACCTGCAGATTTCACAACGAACGCTTGACTAATCGAACGACTGGGTCAGCGTTAAATGGTACAACTATAACTTAAACGAGTTTGGAATATAGTGCAATGATCCAATAACGCTATTATTGACAAGTATTTCACTTCTAACATAGTAAAACTCCACTATCCACAACTTATTATTAGAGTTTCATGAGTCACAAGTGAGGCGACTGTTATAATCTTAGTTAAATGGGTTTTATGGCGGCTGGTTTAATTTCTAAGTTGTCTTAGTATCGTGTTTATCTCATTTAGGCGCTACTGAAAGCCAAGAAGTACTGAATAACTTTTTCTTTATAGTATAAGACTTCTTAATCAGATCGCTCCCAGTGAGATTAATCTGTAATAAATGCTACCAACAAATTAAACCAATTTCAACAGATCCCATTCACATATGATATAATTTTAAGTGAAATCTATATCAATAGTCCTAGGATAACACTGCAACAATTCAGAGAAAAATTAAAAGTTTGTTGAAAATGTTCTACGGTAGACGTTTGCTAAAAAAATGATGAGTCCACTGCACAACAGTTTGCTCTTTACTACCTTATGTTTGTGAAATGTCGCCTTTAAAAACAGAAAATATTCATAGGTCACTAGTATTTAACTATAGGTGCTTACAGAGTATTACTCGTATATATTGAGGAAATGGACTGATAAATGCTAGATTAGGCACATAGTATTATGTAAGGATGCTAATTTGATTGATGAGGCAGTGAATATCTATCGACTGAAGTGTTTGGGATATACATTATTTGTGCTCGACCACTATTTGCCCTGATATGCGACGATAGCCGGTTTCAGAGTAGGTTGAAAGAAGATTATAGAATTTCAAACCAAAACGTGGCATTATTTCATGAATTCATTAACATTTGGACTGAGTCGTGTTGTAAGGAGCAAACTACGTGATTTTCGTAACCAATCGTTGGAGACATTTAATGACACAGATCAGAATCTGTCCCGGTGGCGTAGATGCATTTACTCTTTGTTTTCTCTTAAATCTCCAGTTTCAAAACTATCTTGTACTATTTCTATCTGATAACTTTATTATTTCTACTCAAATTATACTGTCTATATCTAATCTTTTCTGCAACTATTGATAACGTTAATATTTCTACTAATTTGAGATTTGTCTTGATAATTTCTTTTCTCTGTACTAATGTTATGTCGAAACTTGAATAGATACACACATATGACTGGTTCTATATGACATATAACTAATAATATATTATAGTGTAACAAGTCTTTCATTCTAAACTGTTTTCTTTTGAAAGTTACAATACTTATAGTCTCCTTATACGATATGATTATTCATTGTAAACGTGGTAAGGGAAATATGAATAGAGTGATTATAAATCCATTATTTGATAAATATCAATGTAGGACAGTTGCAATTAAATAGGAAAAACTATGGAAATGCGAATCATTAGATTGATGGTTATGTGTCTGTGGGGATAAAATATGAAGGTCTTAGGATTTCGGCTTTATATGATCATCAAGACAATTAGTTATAAAAAAACCATAGGTTCTTTAAAAGTTTTCCAATCGCTTCAAACAGTTCTTAATGTCAACTAACATCAAGTTAATTATTTCCTTATAAAATAAACTATAATTCTTTCAAAATATTAGATTGTCAAGCAAATTTCTATTTTGATACTCGTTTCAACTTCTGTGTACAGTTGATTTTTACATTTTTCTCTATATTAGAGCATTCAAACTATTACTGATACTTCATTCAATTCTAATTCTGATATTCTAGTTTTACAAACTTACTAATTTGTATAAGCTAGTGACTATCGAGGTTCAGTAATTCAGTGAATAACGGTTTAGGCATTTGAAACGAAAGATAAAGAGTTCTGAGTCTCGGTGTAAATATCAACACTGTAATTCAGATATATTCAGATAATGAACGAAACGTGAGTCCTAGATTGTAGCGCTAGCCACTAACTGAATTTACTTGAACACAACTGATTTGCTATTTCATTCTTTTTTATTATTCAATCTTGGAGAATTCGATCTTCACCAGTCAAAATATTACTGTAGTTAAATTTCAACAAGTTTGTCGTCTCTTCAAAGAGCATTAGTACTTCTATTAGTTAGAGATATTAACCTAACTAATATTTATTGCTAAATTCAACTTAAGTGATTGAAAAGTGGAAATTGATATTTCCAAAAATAAGAATAAATTTCAAATGGAATTTGCATACACAGTAAACAATCTTGGCGTCTCGATGTTTATGACTATAATAACTAATATAGACCACCAACTTGTTAGTCAGATAAAACAAATTAATAGTCTTAGTTTTACTTAACTTATTTGGTTACTCTATCTACTTGGGTAAAACTCAATATTTGTCTTTCACAAAAATTATAAATTAATCTAAGTTAAACTAGCATTGAAGACGTGCAAGTAGTGGATGGTAATTTTACCCTACTATAAAACTACTCAGGAGTACACATCCACACAGCAATCGAACTCAAAACATCCGCTCTAGCACATGAACACTTAAACTCCAAGCCATTGAGTCGGCATTCAGAAGTGTTTATGTCTAATTTCAATCAGTCCACAACATTTTGTGAACATCTTTCATTGTCTTTGGTAAGTAACTGTATCACACCTGACTCGGTTAAACTCCACTGGTCACGGCTTATCAATAGAACTGTGGGAATTTCATCTCGAATCTAATGTCTAGTGATTATATGATAATTAATAGTATTGGGGTTGTTGATATTGTTGAATTTCATTGAAATCATGAACATATCTAGTTTAGAATACCATTTTTTACTTGTTTCTTTTTCGCCCTGCTCTCTTCAGTTTGACTCTGAGTGGATATATATATATATAAGTGGCTGAAATGCATAATTGTGAACTTGTTTCAGTAATAAATACTACTGTATTCTTGTTTGATAACAATATAATCATTTCCTGTTTTGTGAAGATTTATATACATTGTGTTGAAGGATACAGACGGAAAGGTCGAAATGGGTGGATTTCTGAAGACTACTTATTTTACGGTAAATGATTACATCTACTTTTTATTTTATATTTATCAAATATTTGGTTGATGGTGCTTTTTGATTGTCCTATTTGTAAAATTCTATGTAAGTCATTAACTGATTATATGCCTCTTATTGTTCCTGAACTACAATTAACTAACTATTCACCTATTACTCAGCTTTGTACTACATTTGACCTGGTGATGTACGGTGATTTCCTATTCATGATATGTTGTGATCCTATAAATGATCTATATTATCATGTCAGCTTTTAAATTCTACTAATACGAAATAAATTTTCCGATGTCTTCTCATTCCGCTTAGGTAGGTAGTGGCAAAACGTAATTTGTTTCGGCCAATCAGCGTCAGTATACTTACTGAACACGACATATGAAAAGGTTACTAGTATTATTTGTCGTTTGAGAATCTATCATTAGTTGACTTTATGATTTAGTGATCTTGTTAAGTGGCCATATAAAAGTTGGTTTAGTAATATATCGAAAATAGGACATTATAAGTAGAGTCAATAAAAAACCAAAGAATATGGGACAACTATTCCGTGTTAGTTTAAGAATTCTTAACATGTTTGCGCCAATATAGCTACACAGTATCGTAACTGATAGCTTTGAGTCTGACTGTCACTGACATTTCAGACTACTAAACCGAAATCCAATGTTTCATAATGTCGAATTCAACCAAGTCGCCATATCCTATGATCCTCATATAATACCAATAAATGGGTTCTTAACAGATAACAGTACAATCGCACAGTACCTTACGAGTGTTAGTCATTTAACTTAAAATAAAAGGTAAGTGTATCTAGCTTATCTCATCTCATTGTCATAAAAAGGTTTTCAGAACATAAGCTTTTATCTACTGAATATTGTAAATGATATACGAGTTATCGACAAGAAATCTGTAAGTTTTACTGAATGAATTAAGTCTTAGCTAAGCATAAGAAAAGTGTTTATATCCATTTATCGATCAATGAAGAATAAATACTGGACAATGGCTTCATTAGTTTCAATTAAGATTAATCTACAAATTAATAATTAAATGGGTCTAATCCTGTTCATCTATTTAAACAATTCAGTCTTTAGGTACACCAGACTCATTGAGATCTTGTACTGATAATATTTTAAATAATAATAATGGTAATAATAATGACAGGTATTATGTATAAATTGTATTATATTACCTTGATGAACTTCAGGTGGACAAGTGCAAATTAATCCGGAACCTTGTACATGTTCAACACGTGTATGACGTGTTAATGTATTTGAATCCACATGAGTACCAGCAATTGAAGCATTAACAGGTACTCCAGTATTAACTACACCTATTTGTTGTATATTATGTTTAGTTGATGTCATTATATTACGTGGTAATGTATTATCATTTTGTATTTGTTGATGTTGCTGTTGTTGTTGTGATCCAGTATTGAGTTTACTTGGTGATGAGCTACCTGTTGAACATTGTTGATATTGTGAAGGATATTGAACAAACATTAAACCAGCTGGTGTTTGAATAAGTTGTGGTCTTGATGATATATTCGGATCGATTTGAATAGCTTGATGATTTAATTTAAGTTGACGTAGTAAATCATTTGTTGGTAAAGCATAATAAATTGTATACGGTTGTTGTGGTTGGTTAGTACTGCTGCTAATATTAGTAGTAGTAGCAGTGATATTAGTCGAATCTTCATTTTGTACAATTGTTGATGAATTTAGCTTTGATGAATTTAATGTTACATGATTACCAGAAACAGATGTATAGTGAATTCCACTAGTGGAAATACCGCTTGTAACTGAACCAATGGAAACATTAATTGTTGAAGGTACTTGTGTTGAATGAACAATGGTTGTTGTTGGAGTAACCGTCGTTGGAAGTGTCAGTGGTGATCCAATTGCATGAACTTTAACTAGAAATATTGTTTAAAGGAAAAAAAATAAGAAGCATAAAGCGTTTATTGTCATGTAGACTTATGAATGATTAATCATTACTTCTATGAAGAATAAACACTGAAAGTTCGGGATTTCTCAAATAGGAGTGAAGTTATCAACTAAATTTTAAAGAGGGATGAAGTTTCAACTGCCCCATTTGTCAACCTATAACGACTATGTTACGAATTGTGACACGTTCTACTACATCTGCTATCGGCATAAACGATATTGTTTTGATCATGATCAGGTGATAATCACCTAACTAAAACATGAAGTCAATATTGATTAAACTGAAATGTGTATGTTTAATTGTTATGTTGGTGATCAATGGTGGTTATCATTACAACTATGGGGATCAATAAAATTTCACTTTAAAAGTCTACCACTAGGACTAAGTTAGACGATGGTGAGGTCATTCTTTATTCAGCTACCAATCAATATAAACTGCACCCTCCACGGAAGTATGACTCTTCCTAATAATTTATCTGTTTCCACTTTGCGTTACTGTACAGTATATGTGCTTTATTCACTGTTTTTGACTGATTGCATTTAGTATCAATATGGGGATCTGTGAAGATCGTAATATTTTAACATTCGAATTCACGGACCAATCTATGCTAGACAGTCATTGAAAATCTACAAGCAGTAAACGTTCCTTTCGTCTTAGTATGGGACGCCTCAGAAGTATGCGTCTAACTTCAATTGAAGGGTTGCATGAGATCATGAATCGATTGAAGTTAGACACTTACACCATTGGATGCCGGCTTAGAGGTCTAAAGTTTTAGCGTAAATGTGCAAGGCCAAATGCCCTAGGTTCGAGTCCCACGTGCAGCATCGTGAAGGCGTACTTCTGAGGAGTCCCATATTAGGTTTTCAGTGATTGCATTTAATCCATATTTTTTAATAATTATAATTCTAAAACAAATGAAATATTAGAGACCAAATTTTATTTGTTTTAATTATCGTTCCTACAATCACACTCTGTTAGACAGCAATACGGAATGTACTAGGAACAAACAACTATAGTCCAAATAAATTATCCACAACAAGATTATTATTATAACGTCAACCAGACCAGTTTTAAATTCATTTGAATATTGAACAGCCTGTCATTGAATAATTAGTTTTATCTTGTTCACTATTGTTCCTTTCAAGATAAACTGATCACATTAGTTGGTTTCTATGTCACAGATATATATTCTTAAATAAATACAATATTCATTAGACGTGAAACTTAACAGAAATAATCTAAAGTGAAAAGTACTACTTAAGTAGTTCGAGTAATTTTAATGGAAAGACATGTGGAATAATTCTTACATAATGAAATACTTTAGTCATAAACCATTAAATCAACCACATACGTTCTTTTACTTCAAATCAGTAAACTTTAATTATACAAACTTGTTATTGTGAATCAAATAAGTGTTCTGGGAGTAGAAATTTCCGACTCATTGTGATTAACAAAATACTCTAGAATAATAGTTAATCACTTTAGTTTACAGTGCATGTTTAGCGATATGTCTTGTCGATTGAACGCTACTTGTTATATCTGGTCGTTGCTGATTGTTATATCGGAATCGATTATCACTTATGCCAGTCTATGTGTTCTTATTTTCGCGTTGTGGGAATTGCAGTGATTCCTCGCTTCACAAGTATAAGTGAAGAGTTATTAATCCCCAAAACACAACCACGACGACCCTAGTCGGAAACGCACTCATTTATATATTGATTCATACACCCATTTTCGATCAATAATTAGGATGAAATCACATATGTGATAAATACTTAGTTATAACAAATACGCTGAGTATAGTTCATGTTAACTTAATACAAGAATGCCGTATGTTATACAGAATAAAAGATCACACTGGGAAAACAAACCAAATACTACATTGAGTAATCAATAAATTGAATCAAAACGGAAGTAATGCTGACCAAAAGTCAATAATGAGTAAATCAATCATATCATTTAGTTACGTAACTAAATGAATAGAACTAAGATATATTTGAAGATATATTTGTACACAAAGCATTGTCTAACATTTATGATTAAGAAGTGACAATATAAGTTTAAAGCAATTAGTCCCTTTGGTAAATTTCGATAGAACAATGAGAAGACGGAGTTTATCTGAAAAATGTAATGTATTTGCGTTATACATTTCGAACGATCTGGTCACACATACTTGTCAGGGCATTTTATATGACAACCAATAAAGGTCAATTAAATGAAAGTTCAAGTAAAAAAGTAACAAAGGGGAGAGAAAGAATAAGAAATTGTCGCGTTATCCTAGGCCATAGAATGACTTGAGGATTACCAGGGTAAATTCAAGGTTACAACAAATTGTTTTTGTACACATAGAGGGAGTTTAAATTTACGAATAGCCAAGGCTTCAATAAATTTAAGAATTCGTCCTTGACAATTTCTGTACAACATTTTAAAAGCTGTATTAATGTCAATTTTGTGCCCCGTTTCAATTATGTTTCACTATCGATGAACCTGGTTTTCTACCTCCCACGTTGATCGGATCATTGGACACACATTATTCGAAATGTATAGCGCAAATACAACGCATTTTTCAGATCAACTCCGTCTTCTCATTGTTCTATCGAGACAAGTGTTGTTAAGATTCGAACTAGGAAACTCAGAAAATAATCATCAGTAGTAATTTTGTTGACTCAACTTTACGAAAGATAATCACCTCATTAATTTTTACTTCGAAATAATTTATTGGATATTATTATGGTCTAAAGAACTGTTAGACAATCATTTAGTCATTCGTTTTATAATCTCGCTAAGGTTCATTCAACAACACCAAAGTGAATTAAACTTTAAATTTTCAAGTTATTAAATCAATTGATTCATTTTTATTTGTAGCTTATATTTAAGATATTATTAAGAAACAGGAACAATGGACAATAGGTTAGTTTTAGTGGTGTGTACCAACATTATTTAATATATTTATTTGAACACATAAATATTGGTACAAAAGGGCACCGAATACATATGCGCCACACAAGTCAATTGATTTGTGTGCAGCCTGTGATACTACCCGGATTCCCAGAACGAAGCAGGTGGTTATCTTAGGAGGGGAACTGTGCCGCACCGGGAGTCGAACACCGGGTCGTCTGACGGAGAGCCAGGAATCCTAACCGCTATACTACGCCATATGTACCAACAACCCCTTCAGATACCGAAGCTTAGATTTTGTAATTTCATAAAGGATAGCCAACTATTGGAAACATTTACTCAATAATGTATATATTTAACTGAAATTCCTAGCTTTGATTCCTGATTGCCTAGTCCTAGAGCATCTCATACTATGATGAAATAGTTATCTAGTGCTTCTTGGTTTTCAATGATTCCCTTACTAAGATCAGTCCGTGGTGTAAACTATGATCCTCAGAAGTGTTTTTTTTTATCTCGGTGTTTTATATCCTGATTAGTTGGACCTTGATAATTATAATATTCCTCCACTACTAGTAGTACTTATTCTCTCTTCAATAAATAAATAAATACAATAAACATTTGATAAAATTTTGAAAGCCTAATGTTTCCCGGGAAATAAATTTATTTTTTCCTTCTTCAGTTAGATTTAAAATCTTTCCAAGTTTTTTCCTAAAAAAATGCACATAAAAACAAATAATCAATATTTCTTTATTAAAACCCAATAAACCATTAGTTGGAGAACTCCATATGGATATGGCACAGCATGTGTCATGTGATCTAAGAAATAACTAACCTACCACGTGATTTGTCTTTGTTCAAAATATTACATGTTTTTTTAATGCACATTAATGTTACCAACGTTTACGCAATAGTCTTGGAAGTATGGTTTATTACCAATGTGATATTATGATCATTATTAAAAGTATAAAAAAAAGGGAATTGGTTAAAGAATGTTTGATATTATTCAAGGACTTAATATGAGTCCCTTAGCCGTAAACATTCTTCATCCTGACAGGAATTCAAAAATTGATCATTTTCATATCTTAAAGAAAACACTACCTCTTCAATCAGCTAAGTCATAACTAAATTGCCCATATGTTTTATGTTATACATGAACTATGCAGGACAATGCACTTTATTGAATTTGGGATTGATCGACTGAACATATTTGCATTTCAGTATTGATGTTAATAGCTATCTACACTTCAGTCGATCAAGTGTTGTGATTCTCTAAACGAAAGGTTTTGATCTTGAACATCAACACTAGGATGCAGGTACACCCATCAGCTGATGAGTTCCATATACGATTACACGAGTCTTCTGAATTTCACTATTAGAATCCATCTATCATATAAAATGTGTAGGGAAATGAGTACTTGAAAGCTATCTGTACACAATGCATACATATCAATAAAGGCTAATTAATTTTCAGTCTTACTAATAAAAAGATAATCCAGGCCCTTACCAATAAATGGTTCATATTATGGACTTAGGAAAACCTTTGACATAATTTTATTATCACACTTAAATTAAATGCTAAAATTCATTTTGGCTTGAAAATTAAAACGAACATAGGAGTAAGGTCTGTTTAATTTGAAATATGGATTAATTTATCATGAAATGATGCAGTTGAGTAGTAAAAATGTCCTAACTCTAATCTCTCCAGTTTAATTAACATCATGTAATATGTTCGTATGAGGTAGGCTTAATATTATCTACATACATTGGATCTAATTACGATATTGAACACATAAGCTCTATACCATTATTAGTCCAGTTGTGAAGTTATATTTGCATAACTGTCTAATTCTAATACGCAAGAGACCTAAGTAATTAATTAAGGAAGTAGACATTGTCTTTATACTCCTTCATCGCTAATAACTGTCCATAAATCCAGTTTAACTTAAGGTCAATCTATTATATATACAGAATTAACTTAATTCCTCAGTCACGTGATCAGGCATGAAGGTTGTTGATAGAAATACATGCCGATAATCATTAATCCTACTATAGTTCATTTGTAAGGTGAAA